GACGTGACGTAATCAATACATACTGACACTAACGCCTTACCGCCTTACGTGGGGTGGGACAGCATAAAGCGACAAACTATCGTCGAATTTGATATGCTGTCTCACCCCGGGTAAGGCGTTATTGTCAGTATGTATTGATTACGTCACGTCCACGATCGTGCCCGAGCAGCCCTAAGTATTTTGAACAGTATCCGAAATTGTGGAGATTTTGGTTCCGTTCGTCGCTAAATTTGCCCAAGCTACGATCAAACCATATTATTTAGAAAGAGAAATCTTTGTGAAAAGATGTAATCGAATTTGTTTTGGCGTACGAGAAGTTTGAGCGGAGATATTTGACATTGAAGGCGATGCGGTCGTGGCGGCAGTGATTAGCCTTTTACAGTTATATTATATATAGATGAGCACACACAATGTAGGCCACAGAAAATGTTACATCAACCGTTCTAAATGAGCTCATGGAGTGATTAAAAGAATCCAAAGGTATTACACTATCATGTCAACTATATTTTATTGTTAAAATGTATTTATTTGACTAATTTAAGAATGTTTTTAAAATAGTTTTGGTTGACTATAAATTTGTTTATAAAAACCGTTAAAAACCCGCAACACCTGATCATTCATTCTGAGATTGGGCCGCCTGTGTATGAACAACTAAGTATACATATCAAATAGCTTCAAATCATGGCGTTTTTTAAAATCAAAGCCAACAGAAACTAATACGACATATTATATAAATATGAGTGTATAATGACCACACCGAAATGGTTAAAATATACAAGCCCATGATATATCTTCTTACTCGTGAGTTGACTAGCGTAAAAAACAATCTTTTGAATTATTGACATCGGCTTCCACAATTCCATGTCTTTGTTGTGGTTTTTAACCATTAAGGTTGGATATTGTCTGTACCGCCGAATGTTAAGATTTTAATTCATATTGCATAAATTATTCCCTATTCACAGAACTCCAACGATTTCTGACCTTAGAGCAAGTAGGTAGAATTAGCCCGCCCATTAATGCCCACCATTTCTCGCTATGTTTGAGGGTTAGTTCCTAGGGGTTTTGCCCCCTCACGTAAAACTAACATTCGGTTGTTGAGCACTAGCTTGTATCCCTGGACACTCAGGTGAAACAACTTTAAATTCTCAAATTCGGATTTAAAACATTAGTCGAATTCATAGTCAGATTTGAAATATCACATGAAAAGAGATCTTAGCTTTTTTCAAAAAAGCCCTAATAACTTTACAGAATTTACAGGATATGTCCATTTGAATTTGAATTTTAGGTTAAAACGTTTCCAACACCTGTGGAGAAAAGGATGATCTTCTACGACCTGATGCAACCAATCACTGCTCAGTACTGGCGTCTCAAATCAGCTGAGGATAAATGGGTTGGAGTAACTGAGTTTGCTTTGAAACCTTTGATTACACCCTGAATAAACGCAAGCGAAACGTCATTCCTCCGCATCTTATTACCACGAAGTGCAAAGTTGCATCTGTTTTATATTTTTTATTCTATTGCCAGTAATTATAATATGTAGTTGGGAAACTATTATTGATTTTAATAAAGTGTTTTAAAGTACCATTTATTCATTGAACAAATTTTTCATTTGTTGTCTGACTATTGGTAAGAAACAAACAACTGGCATAATTAGAGAATTCTAAATTTGGTCGCATGCAAGTGGGTGTGAACAGAACTATATTTTGTCTTTAGGAATTAATAAAATTTTTACTGCCCTTTTCAAGAACGAAGAGAATTAAAATAAAAATACTTAAAATACACATGACATGATTCATGAACATTTTTCACCAATTTTTATGCATCACTTAAGGTGGCTCGCTACAGTTTATAGAAATGTTGAAAATGAGTAAACTAGATCACCTTTTTGAAGAGATGATGCTCTTTACAAATCGAAATTTGTATATTATATATACAGCGACAATCAAACAGTCGAAAATTGGTCAGAAAAGTGACGTCACCACTGTTGCTATGGCAACAATGACGATTCAAGATGGCCGATATTTTGGCTTTGAACTGCATTTTACTTTAAAAAAGGTCGGTTACCCCCATTTTTTATTTCAGAAAACATTTTCTTATAGTAGTGGCAACCAAAATTGTTATTGCTTCATCTGAAAGAGCATGAAGAAATAAGCCGGTTGGCCGTTTAATGCTCTATTTTATCTCATCTAGTTCCGAAATTATACGCAAACATGTACAAAATATAAATTGCTGATTCAGCACAACGTGTGACGTCATTAGTTGGGTACGTATGTTTATTGAATAGTAAACTGGCGCAAGGGGCCTGGGAACGACATTGTTACCTTGGCAACAAAATTAGAAGTGTTTTTCAATGCGTCTCATCATGTACAATCAGTATGCAAAATTTCATTTAATTTGGGCCCATAATAACTGAGCTATGCTTCAGTTTACTATTCAATAATAAAGGAATACCGAACGTTTTCCGTGCAGGATTGCGTGATCCATGCACGAGGGATGTCGCGAGACTTTCGGAAAGCGTAAAGATACTCGAGCGGCAGGCGAGTGTATTTTTACGCTTTCCGAAAGTCGAGCAACATCCCAAGTGCATGGATCACGCTATCCTGCTTGGAAAACCATTTGGTAATTGTTTTATAAAATAACTACAGTGAAACAGTGACATTTTGAGAATCCCCCGAAAATTCCGAGAAGGCATTTTAATTCCTCGTGCAGGATAGCTTGTTATATAATAACTACAGTGAAACACGCAATTTGATTGGTCAATATAGCCGTGCAGGATCAGGCTATCCTGCACGAGGAATTAAAATACCTTCGCGGGATTTTCGCGGGGTTCTCAAAATGTCATTGTTTCCCTGTAGTTATCTTATAAAACAATTACCAAATGGTTTTCCAAGCAGGATAGCGTGATCCATGCACTTGGGATGTTGCTCGACTTTCGGAAAGCGTAAAAATACACTCGCCTGCGGCTCGAGTATTTTTACGCTTTCCGAAAGTCTCGCGACATCCCTCGTGCATGGATCACGCAATCCTGCACGGAAAACCATTCGGTATTCCTTTAATCCTGCACGGCTATTGGTCAATCAAATTGCGTGTTTCACTGTAGTTATTATATAAACATACTTACTCAACTAATGACGTCACACGTTGTGCTGAATCAGCAATTTATATTTTGCACATTTTTGCGTATAACTTCGGAACTAGATGAGATAGAATAGAGCATTAAACGGCCACCGGCTTATTTTTTCATGCTCTTTCAGATGAAGCAATAAAAATTTTGGTTGCCAATGTCCTTTAAAGTTACCTTGAAAATGAGGAAGAATGGCCTTAATATGGTTTGTTGCGTGCAGCCTTTTCTAGATTTCGCATTTCATGCATAAGCTTACATGGTGTATAAAAAAAAATGAACAGATTTGAAATTGCTCTCAATTTCGCAAAGCAGCTATTAGTATGCAGTTTTATATATATATATATATATATATATATATATATATATATATATATATATATATATATATATATATATATATATATATATATATATATATATATATATATATATATATATATATAATACAATCTGCAGACATGCATGTTTCGGCGTTTAACGCCTCGTCAGTGCAGCTTGGTACACGTCTAGATACGCGAGACACTCGTATTTATACCTCATGAACTTGCTCTCACCAAGGCATGTGGTACAACACGGTGACTCAACGCATCCAGACATGCGCAGAGCGTAATGGGGCCAGAGTGCTCAAACGACCACAAGGGAAGTGAGCTTTGCATTATCGCTAATAGACACCCATTAACAACTCCGCAGAGTGCTCAACAACACCGAAGTGAAGGAGCGTAATAGTACAATCTGCAGACATGCATGTTTCGTCGTTCAGCGCCTCGTCACTGCAGCTTGATACACGTCTAGATACGCGAGATACTCGTATTTATACCCCATGAACGCAAGGTACGTGGTACAACACGGTGACTCAACATCATCCAGACATGCGCAGAGCGTAATGGGGTCAGAGTGCTCAAACGACCACAAGGGAAGTGAGCTTTGCATTATCGCTAATAGACACCCATTAACAACTCCGCAGAGTGCTCAACAACACCGAAGTGAAGGAGCGTAATAGTACAATCTGCAGACATGCATGTTTCGGCGTTCAACACCTCGTCAGTACAGCTTGGTACACGTCTAGATACGTGAGACACTCGTATTTATACCCCATGAACTTGCTCTCACCAAGGCATGTGGTACAACACCGTGACTCAACGCATCCAGACATGCGCAGAGCGTAATGGGGCCAGAGTGCTCAAACGACCACAAGGGAAGTGAGCTTTGCATTATCGCTATATATATATATATATATATATATATATATATATATATATATATATATATATATATATATATATATATATATATATATATATATATATATATATATATATATTCTTTTAATATTGACTGTAAATAATTTATTACATAATATAATACAAACTAGCATAACTAGAGACCTAAATAAAAAGTCTACGAAGATTTCTAGTAGGTCTCTAGCCCGCACTATACAATTATTGTAAATATACTACACAAAAATTTATTGTACATGGGGAAAAATCCTTTAAAAAAATACTATTTATATAATAAAAGGTATTTATAAGAGTGCAATGTTGAAATGGCTGCAAACCAATATTTGTAGACTTTATACAGTTAGTAGCTGTTCGAAA